ACATTTTGTACTGCTGTTACACAGCACAAAACGCATAAAAATCCTAATTCTTGTTATCAGAACAACAGCTTAAAAAAATTAACTAAATCCAATTTAAATCTTTCAATAATCCTTTTAATAAATACAAAAAAAACCTTTTCTATCAAAAATAACTTTTTGAAAAATTACTTTAAAAAAAAACCCCTTTTCTCTTAAAAACATTTTTTTCCTCCTTTCTTTCCCTTGCTCTCTTCACTCTACTCCTACTTCCTAATCCCATAACCATATAGTTTCTCCTTCTGTTTCTTCCTATCGTCTTTCTCTTTTTCCTTTTCCATTAAGCACTGCGACCGTCATATTGCTACGAGGTCCTGTTGCGCGGTGTTGAGTTAATACGTATATGACTTAATGGATCGAAATGTCTTATCTCACTGTTACCTTCTTTTCTCATACTGTTCTTTCATGCTGTAATCTATCGCGCCTTCGCCATTTAGGTTTTCAAGGTCAACCTGGTTGCCAAAATCGGCTTAGCAAGATAAAAAAAAAAATCAAGAATTTTCATCATTTAGTAAATTCAATAATTAAACGAAAATATAACTAAGTGACCTTGATACGGCTTGACCAGCGAATGCTCCTTTTTGTAGTAGCCGCGCCACTCGTTCACTGATGTGCCGTCCACCGCAACAGATGTTGTAACGGGCCGTGGCTGTTGCGCCTCCTGTCCATCACATCCGTGCCCTGCCAATAATACAAGCAAAGGCAAAAGCCAACAGTCAGAAGCTGCTGCCAGCATAGCCTGCAAAAAAGTGTGCATGGAAATGTAACGATTGGAAAGAGTAGCATTACCGCTGGCAAAGTGCAGTGACATAATAAATGAAGGAAAATGGGGTTTGGAAGGAAGTATATGGCACGGGCGTGTCATGTAATGTTCGTGTAATGCTCGAGTAACGCACACCTCCCATCGGTGCTCGCCCACTTATACAAATAACAATCGTTTATGGGCGGAGCGAAAGCGCTATAGCGCGAGAGGGTGGAGCGACCTATACAAGTAACGAGCAGCAACCTATATAAGCAGCGAGCTTCTCTAGAATGTGTGCATGCGGCGCTCTACCATGCGCAGGTTAGCTAATGCACAAACAGGCTCGCTTATCTGGGTATCTGAATTAGCACTCACTGCTGCTTTCCCACAACTGACAATACTCGACTCTGTCCCTTTCATTGGCTGGCCTACAGTGCCAAACAAACTTTCATAGTTTATATTTTTCAAAAATTTCCAAAACACTTAGGGTATGTTACCTGTAATCTGGTGTTTTGGTGACTGTCATACAAAAGCTAGGCCTACACTTATTAATGGAAACTACCGCTTTTTTACACTTCCGTGAAACAATAAAAAAGAAACGGGGGGTACTAACAGCCAACAACAACCAGGGTGAAGCAGAACAAGCCAAAACAACATGAAATTGGATGTGTG